AAAAAAAAAAAAAAAAAAAAAAAAAGAGCACATGATTCAGTTTCAAGGCTACCCTCAAGTGGAAGTTCAGTTTTCAAGGACATACGCACAGAGGTAATATTATTATATCTGGACATACAGCGATATTCTCGACCCAAAAACTAAGGGAGGATTGAGTTTATCCTCTACTGCCACCTGCTGGAGAATCTTACAAACTGCAGCACACAGATTCCATAAGAGTCAGCGTTGAGACAAAGGAGGCTTTATTTCAAATTGAGTAAATGGCACTGATAATGTGAAATACTATAACAGTGTACTAAACAAAATAATGTCAAAACTAACAAAACTCAGGACAAAATGCCCACTATATATTTAAATATGTACAACTTCGATAAATAAAACAATACTGTTGAGAATTTTGACTGCTCCGCATTCTTTCCTAATCCTCTTGGGAGCAGTCGCCGAAAGGATGACAAACAGGAAACTGAACAGATAATCAACTCTGGACAAGGAAAAGAAAAGAAAGAAAGCTAAATATACAATTTGTGATTGTATTTTCAGTTTGTCACTGCTGCAGCCCTCCCATCTGCCCTATTTCATACAAAAAAAAAAAACATCCTGAGACGAAGTACATCCCACTCGTTTACAGGCATAGTTTAGAGCTTCAACAGCAACTTTTTTTTTTTTTTTTTTACAATATGGCTTCCTGGAGTTTACAGTATTTTGCAATGGTCAGAGAGGTTATGTAAAAAAAAAATTAAAAAAAGCAAATGCTGCATCAAAAATTAAAAAGACAAACAAGAAGTAAGAATGAAAAATCTGTGCTTGAAATGGTAAAGAAAACTAAATCAGGCTCGCCAACCAGCAGCAATTCCAGTCACATTTTCTAAAAAGTGCCAAGCACTAACGTTCTCTAGCATTTAAATTATCTCAGTATTAGACAGTGATGCTGATCTTTTGTTTCATATAAAGTACAAAGAGTGTGAGAAAGCAACTAGGGCTCTGTCCACACTAACCTGGAAGCTCTGTAAAAAGGAAACCCACCGTCTGCATGGCAACGGATATTTTTCAGAGCTCAGTTTGGGGTGTACAAGTGCGAACTGGATAACTGGAGATGATTAAGTCTCCCAACAGTCAAGGTCCACTTTGCAAATGATTACATATTTGTCTCTATTTATCCTTACGCCGTTTCAATAAAACTTTGGAATAACCAAACTGACCAAATTAGAAAAAATAAATAAATATCTGTTTGAAACTAAATGTCCAGAGTTGTGCTGCAGTGGACTAAATGGAGCCAATAAATGTGTTTTGCAGACTGAGGTGATGAAGATGCTCATCTCTCGTGAAGCATCTCCAGGATATTTAGAAAACAAACTTTTAACGACTCTGACTCAGAGAGGCAAGCTATGTCGTGAAGAGTTCTCCATTTTTGTTTTAATCTCCTGAGTGGCAACTCTTTTGTAACAGGTTTTAGAGTTGCTCTTTCTTTAAAAAGAAAAAAAAAAAAAAAAAGGACTAGATATTCCAAATGGCTCCAACCCTCCATCTGAAAGTCTTTCAGCAGCTACTGCTGCAAGAAAGCTCTATTATATTCAAAAGCAGACAAAAAGAAGAACTCAATGGTGAAAGCTTTAAAAATAGACACTTGTTACTAAAAGATATTAAAGCACATCAGAGAAGAGCTTTGAGGAATCTTTTGGTTGTTGGTGCCACACTTGGGTCAGACCTGCTGAGTTAAAATGACGTGTGCAAAAGGAGACTGTTGTCAATATATACAATGAATTTGAATAATGACTTTTTAAAGCTTTTTCAAAGGGGATTTTACCAGCAAGATTCCCTTCCTGCCTGAGACACAGAACCTCCAATGCTGTGAGAAAAAAGACTAGACATTCAGACAGAAGGTTGGAGGAAGCTTTGACCCGGCTCTTATCTAAATCCCCAGCATGCTTCCTGTTTGTTTATTTTTAATTTTTTTCTGGCCTGTAGAGTTCCAGAACCAATCCGTGAAGAATCGCTTGGAGACGTCTGAGGGAGACCTCAACCGTGGCTTCTGCACCAACCCGGGTGGGTGAGGCAGACAGTCAGACCTCCAGCCCCCTTTTTCTGTCAAGTGCAACGTCGGAGGAGCTCAGTGCCTCTTAATTGACGACACTTTCTTCTTCCTGGCTGCAAGCATCTCATAAAAGGGGTCCCTGCTAATAGCAGCTCTGTGGAAAAAGACACAGAGAAAGCTGTTAGCGGAAAAAAGCAAAGGAATACAGCGTGCAAACTACTACACCTTTATAGAGCTGGAATAGTGACTGGTATCTGCGGATCTATGTAGTTTAAATATATTTATTTCATATTCCTAGATTTTTTTGTTCAAAATTTGTTCACAATGACACAACAGACTTCAACAGATCTGCAAAATTTATGTGTGAACATTAATTTTAAATTGTGCAACACATTCTGAAGTGGATTTAGGTCTGGACTTTGACTGGGACGTTGTAACACATTAAAATGAGGTTTCAAACTCCAGTTCCAGAGGGAACAAGCTGCACAGTAATGTGAGAAAAAGTTCTTACTTTATGCTGTTCATCCATTCATCCTTCTCCTCTGCAGTGGGGGCAGAGATGCGATAGAAGGTGTGGTTGCCCTCGACAACGCGTCCATCCGCCTCAGTTTTGCAAGCTTTTATTACCTGATCTTTGTTGTCGGGGATGAAAAGTTCAAAGCAATTCTGCAGAAATAACATGGACAGAATTCCAGAAAATGAAAATTACAATTCCAAGCTCCTGCCAAATCTAACACACTATACAGATCTTATCGTTTGTAATCTTTATACGCACCACTAGAGGGTGCACTACTTACAGGCTTCTTATCCTCAACTTCCCTGATGCTCAGATTCTCCAACGGTATGATCCCTCTGGGCTCTTTGTCCTGAGGGGAAAAAAAAAAAAAAAAAAGAAATGTAAATGACTGGGTTCTACAGAATAACGTGCAATGGGATTTGTGATAAATGATACTCACTGTGGTGTACTCGAAGTAATAAAGACAGTTGTCTGTGAGAATGAACCATCTTCTCTTCCAAGTTTTAACACGGCCCCCTGTGGAGCAAACAGCCAGAATCAGAACGGCTCGGCGAGACAAAGAGAAAGAGAGACGAGCACCAGAAGCGCAGAGTGGAGCAGCAGACAGGCAGACGGATGTATGGACAGACAGACAGATGACGGCTCCAGGGGTCTCCTGTTAACCACACCGCTTATCACCAAGTTCTCCCCTTCACCAGACTTTATGGACATTTGAAAACTACTGGCCTCATAAATCAAGATTTATAGACTAAAACTCCTTGCTTTGCATCCCACCCAGCTTTAAAACATTTATTTCTCTCTGATTCGCTGGGGCATGTACTTAAAAGAAGGCAGTCAATATCAAACATCAAGATGAGTTTTACTTCCAAAAAAAACGTTGTCAACCACTTGGTGACTTGTATTCATTTGCATGTAAAGACATAAACTAAAACTTGAATGCTCAGGATGGATTTTAATGCCAGGTTCAAACTTTTATCTGATTTAGCAAAACAAGAGGTGCCTGAGGATTTGGTTTGAACCACAGGGGATTTGGTGGGTAACTCTGCACTCACTGATCTATGATTGACCTCTTGGCCTCTGTCACCAATACTTCCTGTGAAGGGAAACCTGATTAGAGAAGCAGATGGGCGGCTAAATGCTGGGATGGGATGCCGACAAACTGAGAAAAATAGGAGAGCTCAGGCCAGACAGGACTCTTGCCTTCTCTAAAGGCATCTCAGACTTGAATTTCCTGTTTGTCTAGACAAGAAAATCCCACCACCGAGGTTAGTAGAAAGAAACAAAGGTGTGCAGCACAACCCTTTTTTCTCCCCAACAGGTCAGGTTTAGAAACTTCTGTACAAATCAAAGAACACACTTTTGTCATCATATGACAGCAAAGACTGTATATGATATCCAATCATATTCCAGACACAACTTATGCCTAAGCTTAGTATCTACAGACATTATTGACGTTTGACAGATGAAGATCTGTGGCTCCTCGCCATGTGTCGAACAGAAACAAAAACAAAGCAGACCAACAGAAAAAGAAAAAAAAAAAAAACACAGATGCATTGGCAGAATCACAAAGATCATTGAGCCGTTTCCAGACGAGCCACGCCGGTTCCTCACAGAAAAAAAAAAAAGAGTCCCCTCTGCAACAGCATCCGGAAAGAGGAGAAGCCAACCAGCCTGCTGCTGCAGGAGGGGAGTGTGGATGTTGTTGGACTGGAATGGAGCTGGAGAGGAGGGAGTAGCCCATGCAAGATAGGCTGTGGGAGGTGAAAAGGAAGTATGTTTTGGTTTTATACAACAAGCAAAATGTTCATGTTTTTAACTCCTGCAGAGAGGAGGAAGCTCATAATTCTGGCAGATCTACCCAATTTGCATTTTTTGTGTGTTTTGCTTAGATATGCCAATTGAGTCCAATTTTTGCGGTGCTCCCCCCCCCCCCCCACAGTTTTTTTTCCACTCCGGTCCACCAAAACAGGCTGCAACCACACTTTTACTCTTCAGATCCAGTTCTAGCATGAGATAAGTAGAGCAGAGTTTTGCTGATAAAAAGATGCAGTATTCCCTTTTCATGCAACCACAGAGCAACTCTCTAAGGTTTTGGTTATTTCTAAAATCTTTTCTGTGCTCAGAGGATGTTAAAAAGGTATAATGCACCTTCCTAACAAAAAAAGGAGATCCAAGAGAGTGATCACCAGAGCATACAGAGGAATAAAAGCTGTTCAGCAGCAGCAGCTCCCTGAGTTCGAGCCCACTAAGTGGCGAATGCACTCAGCGACCGCCCAGCGGAGATAAAACCCATCAGCTTATTGACATAAAAAAAGGAGACAAACATCTGAAATTTCAAATGAGCCAATGAAGAGACGAAAAAGTGACATAACCTTGTTTGAATCAAATTTAAAACATGAGAAACGGAACAGAAAGCATGGCAGACCACCAAAAGCACCTGAGAGCCGAGAGATGGACTAGCTTTTTCGGAAGAGCAGGTGTACATACCTCCTGAGGAAAGACAACAGCCAAAATCATGGGAACAAACAAACAAACGAAGAGGGGGAAAAAAAAAACATAACAAATCAAATGGTAAGTAATTATATCACCACAGTCTTTTTTAAAAATCAGTGAGGCTTCAATGAACTGCTTTACAGCTTCCATTCCACAAGGGGGAGCTCCACTCAATGTGAATGGCTTCTGTAAAACACTACAAGTACAAAAAAACATAAAAAAATAAAAATAAAAAAATAAAAATCTACCTAGGTTTATTTCAGTTATGTCAAGTAATTGACCTTCCACCATGATTATCTGACTCATTTCTCCCCATTAGGAGTCATTGGAAAAAGTAACTGTTCACTTATTGTTACAGTTGGTTGTAAAGATTCACTGTGATATTTGATTCTCCCATTCCAAATTCATGCAGGCCTCCTTGTTCACAGTGAAGCTGTACAACGGAAACATCTCAGAGGAAACAAAGATTGAAGAGTCGGGGGGGTCAGAGGGGATGTGAAATTATTTCTATAACAGTTATTGGTATATGTATTTTTTTCCACATTTTGTCACATTACAACGTCAGACTTCAATCTATCCATTTGGGATCTTAATATGATAAAGTCCTCTAGAATTGTGAGGAGGAAAGAAAATTGATTTGTGGCTCAAAATGTATTATGAGTAAAAATCTAAAAAAAAAAAAAAAAATTGGAAAGAAAATATAGAGTTGGATAGGCTGAGCAGTCATGTCTGCAGGTTTAGAGTAACAAAGCTCTTTGGGATGTTGTTTTCCAACCTATCCCTGCTTTAAACTTCATCCCTAAACTGTCTGCTGCATTCATGATGCTGCTTGTTCTCCAATCTTCTCAAACACACCTCTGAAAGCTTCACAGGATATTCATATTTATATTGGGATTAAATTACTCACAGCTGGACTTCATAATTAGGGGACTTTTGAGGGCAACTGGTCGTACTGGATTGTGCTTGGGCGTATCAAAGTAAAGGGGGTTAAATACAACATCTTTAAACCCATGTGTCGCTTTCCTTCTGTATATCCCAAAATCCTGATAAGACATTCATAGTTGTAACCTGATAAAATAAAGTTCAAAGGGTGTGTTTACTTTCAAATGCATGCAATTCAGTTGCTTTTCCTCTGCGTGCTTGGAATGTAGTTTATGATCTTAAATAATTGAAATGCCTTGACTTGTTCTAGTCTTGATTCATTATACATTAAAGCAGGCAGAGAGATGCCTTCAGGTGTTTTGCACACCTATTCCCATATGAACACTTGCACCTTAACACACACACAGGCACTCGGAGGCCATAGAGCTCTGGAGAGAACGTTGCCAAAACAAAGTCTTCTATTGGAAAGAGCTGCAGAGATGTAATACCAGAGTCTCCAACTCACCCAGCTTCAGCAACCAGCCTTCTCTGTCCGGGTTGAAGAAAGTGTGTGTGAGGTCATTGCCGTCGTCCTCGGGAATTTTGAAAGGTTCATTCTTTATGCTGTCGTATAGATTCTGCGACAAAAGAAAATAAAGTTTTATGGAAAAAAATGTATATATGTGAGAGGGAACGATCACTGGAGGTTAAGCAGGGGAAGCTCTTTTCACCCTGAGCAGGTCTTCAGGTAGGTCTCCTCCGTCGTTAATGCCTCTGTTCATAGAGATGAAACGCTCCACGGTCGGCTTGTCCTTCACGTTGGGGTTGTGAAGGCTGGTGTTCAGCATAATGATGGCAAACGAAAGGATGTAGCACGTGTCTGTAACGCACAGCAACAGCCGGACGGTTTACAAGTGGGTGAAAAATTAAAGTTAATCACAAACATGGTTCCACTGTATGATATGATTAAGTATGATTGTGAGCCAGCTGAACTGAAAGTGGGGTGATTTCGGACACAGAGGAGTGGACAGATGTAGCACTGTCTGCGAGCAGAGTGGGCAGACCGCACGTGGGCACTCCAGCATGCATGTGCGTCTCTAAACGTGCATCAAGTATGAACGCTGGAACGACACGGCTGACACAGCAGCACTTTATCAGCACTGCTAGGTTTGAGAAAGCACATTAAATATTCATATCCATCTGACGCATGTTGGCGCCTGCTCTGTTGGGAGCATCGTTTTCCAGAAACCACGTGCTCAGCTGATAAGGAGCCGCTTTGAAATGATCTTTCTCAACTGGCCACCACGTCTTGGCCTTACAGTCTGTGTTTTTGTCATACAGATTCCAACATCTGGTGTGTTACCCAGATGTAACAGGAGGCTAAACACAGAAAAATGAAAACTGTGTGCACTCTGGTTACATTTTTTGCATGCCTTTTTGCATATTTCTGTGGAATTCTTACTAATAAAATCCTATTTAGAATAAAAAAAAAATCACACAAAGCACCGCAGGAGATCATTCCTGCCTGTAGCAATCAAATTATGCAACTTCCAACTCTGAGCGACTCCAAGTTAAAGTTTTCTCTGGACTCCTATATGGATTTGTAAATGTTTCCGTATACACATATACTTTTTATTATTTTCTCAAATTTCATTTTGGCTATTAGCTTTCCAACTGTCATTTTTCTCTACGAGATTAAGAAAGCATATTCTGATATCGAACATACTGTCCAACTCACATATTTTGTAAAGCTGTGAAGTTGTAGCAACACATCAAATTTACCTGTGGACTGGAAAACACCGGGGTTGCACTGGCAGTAGCGCTGAGCGAAGGCTTCCATCATACGGTCGATCTTCTGGGCTTCTCCCGGCAGACGAAAACTCCACAGGAACTGCCTGTTATGATACAAACTTTAATCAGCAACGCTCTCACTTCCTCTGGGAAGCAGATGAATTTCTTTGCCTCAGTGTTTTATGAGACTAGAGCTAACAGCTGCACCCTTGCAACTTTTGAAAGTAGATGTCTTACCTCAGGGCCTGAACCAGGTTGAGGTCTGTGAACTCATGAAGCTCCACAAAAGCATGGAGGACTTGGATATTGAATTCATCTCTGACGGAAACAGCAAGATAAATGTGTTACAGCAACATAGTGAGAAAATCAACACTTATTTAAAATAAAAAGGGAAAATGTTAAGAGTTATCCTAACATTTACCTCCGGAATTTTATAATCAGGTAAGCAGAATCGGCAGATCTTTAGCTCGAGCTAAAGATGATGTGATTGTTTAACCAAACGATCGAAACATCAAAAATCCATTCTTGTTCCAGTCACTGGTAATTTGCTAACAGCAAGAAGGCTAGAAAAATACTTCTAAAGCCGTTCTAACATCTTACATATCTTACTGAGAAATTAAAATTGGCCTAAACTGGTACTAGCAGGGCAAAGCTTTATAAAAATCCAGGAATAAGACTTTGGCAACAAAATTCACAATTTCTCTGTGCCCATAGAAAACTGGTAAACGATGTTGGTATGTAAACACCTGAGCATTGCACCTCTAACAAATTTATATACTCAAAAGGAAAAAAAAATTCAAAATGTAAAAGTTTAACCTTAAAGATGTGTCTGTGGACTCTGTTTCTGACCAACTTGAAACCCGTTTAAAACATCAGTATTATAAGCGATACTCCTCATGAATCCAACAGGAGGGAAGCTGAATCCTCCACCGCCCTGCTTACTTATCATCCAAACTCGATCATGAGGTCATCCCGCCCTTAAAATCCCTTAAAGTAAATGATCTCTCCTTTGGGATGATGGCGAGGCTCGAAGGAGCTAAGCGTCATATCCAGTCACCACTTCCAGTGGACAAATGACCACGAGAATCTCAAGACTCTTCATGCAATGAAGACATCAAAAACTTTAAAATTTGATAATAATCCAGCGAGGGCTTATAGTGGATCCCACTGTGAGCATAGGCCTAATTTCCCCATCAAGCCCTGAGTAGAGCAGACTGGACATTGATCATATTCTCTTCTGATGACCTTTTCTCTCCAGTGAAATCCTTAAATACGTAAAACATGTGCATTCCCAATTTCTGAGTCTCTGGGCCCATCACTTGGAATGAATGAGTGTACTAACCAAAGACATGTGGAGGACTGTTGAGTAAGTGGCACTGTCCTGAGACGGTGCTTGAAATGTGGAACCAATATCCAGTGTTTGGGAAAGGAAGGGGTGTGGGCCTGACAAAGCGGAAACAAAGCAATAGCATAGCTATGCTCTTTGCATTCAGTGCTTTCATCTCTCACACGGATGTGCGCTGCTAAAGAGAGATCAAAAGCAAAAGAGCGAGATGTTTAGAAAGAGCAAAAAGAGGAAAGAAAGAACTCTGCTGACCTCTCTCCCAGATAATCCCCGATGGCCGTTTTGTTCAGACCCTCGCCTTTGTAGAGGAACTGAGCAATGTTGTCGCTGGTGTTCTTCAGCAAGTCATTCTCAATCAGGAACTGGATCCCCTGAGGAAGAGACCAGACATCCAAATTACACACTCCACGTTCAAACGTGAGGGGAAGAAAACTTGTTTTTACGGACAGAAACCTTTTTGGGGTCCATGTTGAATTTCTTTCGGCCCATGGCCACCTGTTTGTTCCTCTGCATATTTTTCCTGGAAAGTCAGCAAGGAGTAATGTCATCAGCTGTCCTTGACAGCAACACAATGTGTTGTAGAACAGAGATGCATTTATGACATTAAAGCTTTGAGGGGGAAACATCTAAAAAGTGTGCATTTGTACATATTCAGAACCCCGATACCACTAATTATTACCGTAACAGCTCACAATTAAACATTTTAGCCTTCATGTAAATCACTATGTGATGTGTAAAACTAATACTAAACATCATCCTTAACATGCCATCCCTGTGGTGAAATATGATAGTGGCAGCAGTAAGCTATGGGAATCCAATTTTGAATGTGTAGCAAGACATGAAAATTGTTCTAACTTGATGTGCTTCATCCAGTTTTCAGGCTCTAAATAAGTTTTTGCAGATTTCTACTGCTTTTATTTTTATTTCCACACACAATTATGCACCATTTTGTGTCCGTTTGAAACAAAAACTCCCAATAATACAATAAAGTTTGTGCTTTTACTGTAATGATCGTCACAAAAGGTGAAAAAATATTCACAACTTGGAAAATAAAAAAAAACAGGACCAAGAGATTGATGGGATTATGCCGTTTGCCAAAGCAAAACTAAAAGTCAAACAAGTCACAAATTATTTCAACAAATTGTTCTGGTCTGATCCTGGCTGGGGGAAAAAAAACAACAGCAGGGAACAGGCAGACACAGTAAATTTATTCAGTGTGAAGTGTCTTTCCCGCTGACATTTTTCTTTTTGGCAGGGGCTAGTGATGCCGTGCCGATCAAGTGAGATGTTAAAAGGTTGAGCTGCATATGGGAATGTCTCATTTCTCAGGCTCTGAATAATTCAGGGGTCAAAGTGCGCCTCAATTCTGAGCTGAGGACACGTTATTGCCTCCTGTCGTTGACATCCGTGTTCCTTTGGTTTTTAAATGCCAAAGTTCAGCACTCATCTTGGCAGTGATAAGATGAGCTTTTTGGATAGATTTTCCTACATTTAACACATGCAAATCAAACCCTAAGAAAGTACGTGGATCCTCCGTGGGTTACTGATGCAAGTGAAAAAGTGTTGGATGGAAATTTTCATAGCCGATAGGATCCCCATCCACTTAAGTAGACCAAATCCCAAGCCCTCCTTCTCCAGAGACCATCCATTGTCTGCTTCTGCCAGTACACCCACTGCATTATTCAATGAGGCCTCCCATCATGGGGGGTGTGCCTGATGAAACATTTAAACTGCCTTAAAAGCAGAGCCAATTTATGGAGGACATTTGGTGTGATGGAAAGCCCAACTTAGCCATCAAACATGAATAATTGACAGCTTCATTTTGCTAACTTAATAGAGGGGATGCAATGAGCCAGCTTAGGCAAAACATAAAGGGAAGAGTAAGGTCTGCTTTTTTTTTTTTTTTACCTCTCTTCAGTGGAGCCGAGATTCTCAATCTCACTGGTCACTTCTGCTATCTCATCCTTCAGCCGCTGCAAAGAAAACAAACATCCGTCTTAAAATACAACAAATCATCGGTCTACCATATCACAGTGATGCACAAAAGGGTGTAACCAACACAAAACAACAAACACAGAATCTAAGAAAAAAAAGTTTACAGTTTTCATGGGTGCAGACCTCAGAAGGCAATAAACTTGATATAAACCGATCCAACACAGTGTGTAAGTTGATTATGTCTTATGATGTGCTTTACTGATGGCTTTAGAGACTGATTTTGTCGATCAAGTCGATTGTTCTGGAGCCAGACTGGTGTAATGGTGATAAGACCATGATGATGAACATGATGTCTGCTTGATGAAGGAGTGGAATCTTGGAGTGCAGCACATATAATGTAATATTTGTATATTTTAAGCATATTGAGAACGATTTACTAGAAGATTAATGAGACCTTGTAAGACTGCACCAACACACGGCATTCCATGCATTTGCATCTAGACAGTCATCTGAGCAGTCGACCAGGCAACAAGCAGTCCTCCATTTATCACCGAAGTCTATGGCTGCACAGTGTATCATAAGCTTACTGCCATTGCTACAGCAGCAAATGCAGCATTAGAATCACAAAAGACTGCTTGAATTGTAGTAACATTAGCGACTTATATAAATACCAAGCAGCTTACTATCTGAAATAAACTTAAAGCAGATTGACGTTAATGGTCCTTTTCCTACTAGCACCTAATCAGAGAGGCACGGCTCAGCTTGTTTCTACTCGAATTTAGGGGTTTTGAGCTACAAGCCCTCTTTTTAGTACTCACTTCAAGTGTGGCGAGTTAGGCTTAAAACCCGACACCAGAAGACTGTCCGTCAATATCTAAGTCTCTGGCTTGTTGCCCTTATCAGACAAACACCCACAAACAAAAGTTCCATCTCTTCCATTGTTGCGTTGTGTTTGCATCGATCACGTCATGCAAACACAACGTGGTCTTGTACAGTGGGGCTGCCCACTGTAATGAAAACCCCACTCACTAGAGGTGCTACGAAAAACCACCCAAAGTGGAACGAACTTAAGTAAAGATGAGCCACGCTGAAGAGGTGTTAGTGGAAAAGAACCGAAACACTTAAATGTTTATCACGAGTCATATCTTTATCACAATATTCACCAACAATATGACATGGGACATGTTTTTTTGTTTTTTTTAAATGAAACAAGAAGTTACAAGAAGTGACAAGTTAGTAGTTGTGTTGATGGACGTGACCAATAAAGGCGTCTTGTTTTGACAAAGTAGCTGGCAAGATGTGACTGATTTGTAAGCAATGTGAGGATAATACTGCAACTGGCTAACAGTTAGCTACTAACAATACTAGATCTGCTTCAGTGGTTCTCAGTGGCACAAATTAAATAACTTACAGAGTTCTTTAAGGGGTTTGCAATGCACTGAATTATCTGTAGCTTAAAATCTAAACTTTAACCAAATACTTTTATAGTGAGTAAAAACTTTAAAAGTTTGGGTTTTGTCACGAAAACAGATTTTAAAAGGTTTTTTTTGGCATTAGAAGCACCTCAGAATAAGACAAGCATAAGAACCAACGTATAGATGAGTTAACCCTGAACTAAAATAGTCTACACTAATTACAGACCTCTTACACTTGATTTATTTAAGAAAGCAAATAATCTTGTTTCTTCTCTAGATGATTTTCAGAAGCAGTATGCATAGTAGTACTCTTAAAATCTACATTCATTCATACCGTGCTTCAGTGATTGTAAATCATTCATTGTGGACAATAGTAACTTAGCAAAGATAAACCACGAAAGGAACTTCTGTGTTTTCAAGGGCTATGCAATCACAACACATTCCTCAGATGCTTGCCTAAACCAACAAAGACCGTCCTCATGCAGACAACGACAGGGGCTCTGGTGGGCTGAAACACAGGAGCAACAGAAAGACGGGTGTGGGAGTCACAAAAGGGGAGTGGGGTCAGTATGCAGACAACTGAGGGGGCCAGGAGGGAACAGTGGCAACAGTGGTGTTGAGAGAGGGAGGAGGGGGAAGGGCAGCGATGGTGCCCCAGACTCATAAAAATGAGGTGATGGATCCCACCTCCAGAGCCCACAAGGGTCAGTAGAAGTCAAGGCACCAGAGGTCTGTCCCCTGGGTGAGATTTCCACTTACTACTTACTCCTGGTTACCAAGTGACAGGACTAATCTGATGCAACCTATAATCAGCTACTGCACATGGGTCATGGAAAGGAAGCATGTATGGAAATTTAACAGAACTGATTTGACTGTAGAAATATTCCACTGACCACTTGTTTACATTTCATCACAGTCATTTGCTTGTTTTATTTTACGCCCATTTTAAAATTCAAAAAAAGCATTTAAATAGCCTCTATAAGTAGAACTCGTACAGATGGATACACAGAGGTTTGTTCTTTTGACACCTAGAGGAGAGAAACGGGTGAGAAATGAGGGGGAACATTTCCAAAGGAAATGACTAGTTAGTAGGAAATATCTCACATTCCTCAGGAGTTCATAAGACAACTCAAAAAAAGACAAACAATTCTGACTACAAAACAAATATTTCAGGCAAATAACTTTTCATATATTTTTCCATTTCATAGTGTTCTTGTTAAATTAATCTTTTTCCTACCAATATGAAATAACTGGGTTTTTTTTCCCCACATTATTACCTGTAATATATATAGATCCATATTGATATATAATAATATATTTAATGCATCTCATACTATCAGAACCATGTCTTTCTTGTGGATTACCTGAATGTCCTCCAACAGCTCTTGCTTTCGCCGGCGGATATTCTCCAGCTCCTGCTGCTCCGCCGGGGTGAGATCGTCTGGAACTGGACGGAGATAAAAGAGAAGATGAAAGGTTAGCATCGTTAGGCTTATCTGTACACGTCTATTCCTAAAGTATATCCCAGAGGAGTGCGTCAGTGATCCAAAATCTGATTATACTTTATAATTTCTAATCTTTTCTTTTTTTTTTTCTTTTTTTTTTTTTGAAACCAAAAGGTGAATGCAAAGCCGGAGCAAGAAACTTAAGAGAGCAGCAGCAGCAGAACGTAACAGGTCTAAATAAAAAACGAACAACAAAAGATGATTTTATGTAGTAAGAACTGTGTTAATCCATCTTCAGTATAAAGAAATAAATGCTAATAAATACAAAAAATACATTAAACCGCCACCCAAATTGGGACACATATCTGCAGCAGTGAGGTGCGATGTGAAGAGTGACAACTGAAAAAGCTCAGAGAAGCTCAGAGGAGCACAAAAGTGACGGCTCTCAAAGTGCTTCTAGTCTTATAATTAGCTCGGCCTGTGCCATCTGCAGCACGTCCCGGTTAAAGCACAATATGCTTGTGCGTGGGTGCTACCTGCACAGAGAGCAGCATCAGCACTTCATGTAATATCAGCCTGACCACGGACTCCTTTTCAGTGATTTTACTCCTGAGCTGAAGGTGATTCATTTTACTTTTCGCTCTTATGACACAAGAATGGCTTCTCCTTTCTAAAAACAGTATTGCATCAATTGAGGAAGCAGAACTCTACAACTGGGGCTACTTGGAAATCATTTGAATTTTAATATTGAGAGTATTTTTTTTTTCTGATTCCAAGCACAAGCCCTGCCCTCTGCTCTTTAGAAACACAGCAATAGAGTTGAAAGGTTAAAGGTCTGGAGCAGAAGCTTGACCCAATGGAACTCCAGAAACATTTAACAAAGCAATGGTTATAAAGTGAGCGCGAAGAATTGTCCAAAACTGAATTCACAGCTTTCCATAAAAACGGACATTCAGTCCCTTTTCCATCCATCCATTAAATTAACTTTTCACCTTTAGTGAAATCTGTATAAAAGGAGGTTACTTATTTTAATAACAGGAGGCATGTGAGTCCGAGTACCTTGAGGCAAATACCCATGACATTTACTGGAATGTCTGTTAATGTCTGACTAAAGGATAATAGACAATGGAAGTGAGGACTCAGCTAAGGCCTTTCAGCTGGCAGTTAGGGACCTAAGCACAACCATATTTCCTTCCTGAGGAATAAAAGGCTGACCTCTCACACTTCCTACCTTTACAACCTACAGCATCATCCATAAAACATTTCTCAGTATCCAAGGAAACCAAGGAGTTTGATTTTGCTGATGCAGAGGACTCAACAGGATGTAGAGACACCAGGACACATCCTATCAAACGGGGCGAGGACGCCTCAGGACAAAAGTCTTATAGCGGTTAGTCAAGTACTGTTTCTGGAAACATGACTGTGAAGCCATGCGACAGTCAGGCACGACACAAGGCAACCACAACATTCCTGACTGAAAAGAATCAAAAACTGAGGAGACAGACAGGAGATGAGCAGCAGAAAAGACTACAATTTGGTTCTGTTGGGGAAGAAAATTCTAAAAAAGTGAGAATGAAATATATATATATATATATATATATATATATATATATATATATATATATATATATAGGCACAAATCTATGCAGGGAATTTCGATTTAAAGAATAAAAATCTTTGACCTTCCTCAGACTTTTTTGGAAAAATAAAAGCGTTTTTTNGGCCCATCACTTGGAATGAATGAGTGTACTAACCAAAGACATGTGGAGGACTGTTGAGTAAGTGGCACTGTCCTGAGACGGTGCTTGAAATGTGGAACCAATATCCAGTGTTTGGGAAAGGAAGGGGTGTGGGCCTGACAAAGCGGAAACAAAGCAATAGCATAGCTATGCTCTTTGCATTCAGTGCTTTCATCTCTCACACGGATGTGCGCTGCTAAAGAGAGATCAAAAGCAAAAGAGCGAGATGTTTAGAAAGAGCAAAAAGAGGAAAGAAAGAACTCTGCTGACCTCTCTCCCAGATAATCCCCGATGGCCGTTTTGTTCAGACCCTCGCCTTTGTAGAGGAACTGAGCAATGTTGTCGCTGGTGTTCTTCAGCAAGTCATTCTCAATCAGGAACTGGATCCCCTGAGGAAGAGACCAGACATCCAAATTACACACTCCACGTTCAAACGTGAGGGGAAGAAAACTTGTTTTTACGGACAGAAACCTTTTTGGGGTCCATGTTGAATTTCTTTCGGCCCATGGCCACCTGTTTGTTCCTCTGCATATTTTTCCTGGAAAGTCAGCAAGGAGTAATGTCATCAGCTGTCCTTGACAGCAACACAATGTGTTGTAGAACAGAGATGCATTTATGACATTAAAGCTTTGAGGGGGAAACATCTAAAAAGTGTGCATTTGTACATATTCAGAACCCCGATACCACTAATTATTACCGTAACAGCTCACAATTAAACATTTTAGCCTTCATGTAAATCACTATGTGATGTGTAAAACTAATACTAAACATCATCCTTAACATGCCATCCCTGTGGTGAAATATGATAGTGGCAGCAGTAAGCTATGGGAATCCAATTTTGAATGTGTAGCAAGACATGAAAATTGTTCTAACTTGATGTGCTTCATCCAGTTTTCAGGCTCTAAATAAGTTTTTGCAGATTTCTACTGCTTTTATTTTTATTTCCACACACAATTATGCACCATTTTGTGTCCGTTTGAAACAAAAACTCCCAATAATACAATAAAGTTTGTGCTTTTACTGTAATGATCGTCACAAAAGGTGAAAAAATATTCACAACTTGGAAAATAAAAAAAAACAGGACCAAGAGATTGATGGGATTATGCCGTTTGCCAAAGCAAAACTAAAAGTCAAACAAGTCACAAATTATTTCAACAAATTGTTCTGGTCTGATCCTGGCTGGGGGAAAAAAAACAACAGCAGGGAACAGGCAGACACAGTAAATTTATTCAGTGTGAAGTGTCTTTCCCGCTGACATTTTTCTTTTTGGCAGGGGCTAGTGATGCCGTGCCGATCAAGTGAGATGTTAAAAGGTTGAGCTGCATATGGGAATGTCTCATTTCTCAGGCTCTGAATAATTCAGGGGTCAAAGTGCGCCTCAATTCTGAGCTGAGGACACGTTATTGCCTCCTGTCGTTGACATCCGTGTTCCTTTGGTTTTTAAATGCCAAAGTTCAGCACTCATCTTGGCAGTGATAAGATGAGCTTTTTGGATAGATTTTCCTACATTTAACACATGCAAATCAAACCCTAAGAAAGTACGTGGATCCTCCGTGGGTTACTGATGCAAGTGAAAAAGTGTTGGATGGAAATTTTCATAGCCGATAGGATCCCCATCCACTTAAGTAGACCAAATCCCAAGCCCTCCTTCTCCAGAGACCATCCATTGTCTGCTTCTGCCAGTACACCCACTGCATTATTCAATGAGGCCTCCCATCATGGGGGGTGTGCCTGATGAAACATTTAAACTGCCTTAAAAGCAGAGCCAATTTATGGAGGACATTTGGTGTGATGGAAAGCCCAACTTAGCCATCAAACATGAATAATTGACAGCTTCATTTTGCTAACTTAATAGAGGGGATGCAATGAGCCAGCTTAGGCAAAACATAAAGGGAAGAGTAAGGTCTGCTTTTTTTTTTTTTTTACCTCTCTTCAGTGGAGCCGAGATTCTCAATCTCACTGGTCACTTCTGCTATCTCATCCTTCAGCCGCTGCAAAGAAAACAAACATCCGTCTTAAAATACATCAAATCATCGGTCTACCAATATCACAGTGATGCACAAAAGGGTGTAACCAACACAAAACAACAAACACAGAATCTAAGAAAAAAAAGTTTACAGTTTTCATGGGTGCAGACCTCAGAAGGCAATAAACTTGATATAAACCGATCCAACACAGTGTGTAAGTTGATTATGTCTTATGATGTGCTTTACTGATGGCTTTAGAGACTGATTTTGTCGATCAAGTCGATTGTTCTGGAGCCAGACTGGTGTAATGGTGATAAGACCATGATGATGAACATGATGTCTGCTTGATGAAGGAGTGGAATCTTGGAGTGCAGCACATATAATGTAATATTTGTATATTTTAAGCATATTGAGAACGATTTACTAGAAGATTAATGAGACCTTGTAAGACTGCACCAACACACGGCATTCCATGCATTTGCATCTAGACAGTCATCTGAGCAGTCGACCAGGCAACAAGCAGTCCTCCATTTATCACCGAAGTCTATGGCTGCACAGTGTATCATAAGCTTACTGCCATTGCTACAGCAGCAAATGCAGCATTAGAATCACAAAAGACTGCTTGAATTGTAGTAACATTAGCGACTTATATAAATACCAAGCAGCTTACTATCTGAAATAAACTTAAAGCAGATTGACGTTAATGGTCCTTTTCCTACTAGCACCTAATCAGAGAGGCACGGCTCAGCTTGTTTCTACTCGAATTTAGGGGTTTTGAGCTACAAGCCCTCTTTTTAGTACTCACTTCAAGTGTGGCGAGTTAGGCTTAAAACCCGACACCAGAAGACTGTCCGTCAATATCTAAGTCTCTGGCTTGTTGCCCTTATCAGACAAACACCCACAAACAAAAGTTCCATCTCTTCCATTGTTGCGTTGTGTTTGCATCGATCACGTCATGCAAACACAACGTGGTCTTGTACAGTGGGGCTGCCCACTGTAATGAAAACCCCACTCACTAGAGGTGCTACGAAAAACCACCCAAAGTGGAACGAACTTAAGTAAAGATGAGCCACGCTGAAGAGGTGTTAGTGGAAAAGAACCGAAACACTTAAATGTTTATCACGAGTCATATCTTTATCACAATATTCACCAACAATATGACATGGGACATGTTTTTTTGTTTTTTTTAAATGAAACAAGAAGTTACAAGAAGTGACAAGTTAGTAGTTGTGTTGATGGACGTGACCAATAAAGGCGTCTTGTTTTGACAAAGTAGCTGGCAAGATGTGACTGATTTGTAAGCAATGTGAGGATAATACTGCAACTGGCTAACAGTTAGCTACTAACAATACTAGATCTGCTTCAGTGGTTCTCAGTGGCACAAATTAAATAACTTACAGAGTTCTTTAAGGGGTTTGCAATGCACTGAATTATCTGTAGCTTAAAATCTAAACTTTAACCAAATACTTTTATAGTGAGTAAAAACTTTAAAAGTTTGGGTTTTGTCACGAAAACAGATTTTAAAAGGTTTTTTTTGGCATTAGAAGCACCTCAGAATAAGACAAGCATAAGAACCAACGTATAGATGAGTTAACCCTGAACTAAAATAGTCTACACTAATTACAGACCTCTTACACTTGATTTATTTAAGAAAGCAAATAATCTTGTTTCTTCTCTAGATGATTTTCAGAAGCAGTATGCATAGTAGTACTCTTAAAATCTACATTCATTCATACCGTGCTTCAGTGATTGTAAATCATTCATTGTGGACAATAGTAACTTAGCAAAGATAAACCACGAAAGGAACTTCTGTGTTTTCAAGGGCTATGCAATCACAACACATTCCTCAGATGCTTGCCTAAACCAACAAAGACCGTCCTCATGCAGACAACGACAGGGGCTCTGGTGGGCTGAAACACAGGAGCAACAGAAAGACGGGTGTGGGAGTCACAAAAGGGGAGTGGGGTCAGTATGCAGACAACTGAGGGGGCCAGGAGGGAACAGTGGCAACAGTGGTGTTGAGAGAGGGAGGAGGGGGAAGGGCAGCGATGGTGCCCCAGACTCATAAAAATGAGGTGATGGATCCCACCTCCAGAGCCCACAAGGGTCAGTAGAAGTCAAGGCACCAGAGGTCTGTCCCCTGGGTGAGATTTCCACTTACTACTTACTCCTGGTTACCAAGTGACAGGACTAATCTGATGCAACCTATAATCAGCTACTGCACATGGGTCATGGAAAGGAAGCATGTATGGAAATTTAACAGAACTGATTTGACTGTAGAAATATTCCACTGACCACTTGTTTACATTTCATCACAGTCATTTGCTTGTTTTATTTTACGCCCATTTTAAAATTCAAAAAAAGCATTTAAATAGCCTCTATAAGTAGAACTCGTACAGATGGATACACAGAGGTTTGTTCTTTTGACACCTAGAGGAGAGAAACGGGTGAGAAATGAGGGGGAACATTTCCAAAGGAAATGACTAGTTAGTAGGAAATATCTCACATTCCTCAGGAGTTCATAAGACAACTCAAAAAAAGACAAACAATTCTGACTACAAAACAAATATTTCAGGCAAATAACTTTTCATATATTTTTCCATTTCATAGTGTTCTTGTTAAATTAATCTTTTTCCTACCAATATGAAATAACTGGGTTTTTTTTCCCCACATTATTACCTGTAATATATATAGATCCATATTGATATATAATAATATATTTAATGCATCTCATACTATCAGAACCATGTCTTTCTTGTGGATTACCTGAATGTCCTCCAACAGCTCTTGCTTTCGCCGGCGGATATTCTCCAGCTCCTGCTGCTCCGCCGGGGTGAGATCGTCTGGAACTGGACGGAGATAAAAGAGAAGATGAAAGGTTAGCATCGTTAGGCTTATCTGTACACGTCTATTCCTAAAGTATATCCCAGAGGAGTGCGTCAGTGATCCAAAATCTGATTATACTTTATAATTTCTAATCTTTTCTTTTTTTTTTTCTTTTTTTTTTTTTGAAACCAAAAGGTGAATGCAAAGCCGGAGCAAGAAACTTAAGAGAGCAGCAGCAGCAGAACGTAACAGGTCTAAATAAAAAACGAACAACAAAAGATGATTTTATGTAGTAAGAACTGTGTTAATCCATCTTCAGTATAAAGAAATAAATGCTAATAAATACAAAAAATACATTAAACCGCCACCCAAATTGGGACACATATCTGCAGCAGTGAGGTGCGATGTGAAGAGTGACAACTGAAAAAGCTCAGAGAAGCTCAGAGGAGCACAAAAGTGACGGCTCTCAAAGTGCTTCTAGTCTTATAATTAGCTCGGCCTGTGCCATCTGCAGCACGTCCCGGTTAAAGCACAATATGCTTGTGCGTGGGTGCTACCTGCACAGAGAGCAGCATCAGCACTTCATGTAATATCAGCCTGACCACGGACTCCTTTTCAGTGATTTTACTCCTGAGCTGAAGGTGATTCATTTTACTTTTCGCTCTTATGACACAAGAATGGCTTCTCCTTTCTAAAAACAGTATTGCATCAATTGAGGAAGCAGAACTCTACAACTGGGGCTACTTGGAAATCATTTGAATTTTAATATTGAGAGTATTTTTTTTTTCTGATTCCAAGCACAAGCCCTGCCCTCTGCTCTTTAGAAACACAGCAATAGAGTTGAAAGGTTAAAGGTCTGGAGCAGAAGCTTGACCCAATGGAACTCCAGAAACATTTAACAAAGCAATGGTTATAAAGTGAGCGCGAAGAATTGTCCAAAACTGAATTCACAGCTTTCCATAAAAACGGACATTCAGTCCCTTTTCCATCCATCCATTAAATTAACTTTTCACCTTTAGTGAAATCTGTATAAAAGGAGGTTACTTATTTTAATAACAGGAGGCATGTGAGTCCGAGTACCTTGAGGCAAATACCCATGACATTTACTGGAATGTCTGTTAATGTCTGACTAAAGGATAATAGACAATGGAAGTGAGGACTCAGCTAAGGCCTTTCAGCTGGCAGTTAGGGACCTAAGCACAACCATATTTCCTTCCTGAGGAATAAAAGGCTGACCTCTCACACTTCCTACCTTTACAACCTACAGCATCATCCATAAAACATTTCTCAGTATCCAAGGAAACCAAGGAGTTTGATTTTGCTGATGCAGAGGACTCAACAGGATGTAGAGACACCAGGACACATCCTATCAAACGGGGCGAGGACGCCTCAGGACAAAAGTCTTATAGCGGTTAGTCAAGTACTGTTTCTGGAAACATGACTGTGAAGCCATGCGACAGTCAGGCACGACACAAGGCAACCACAACATTCCTGACTGAAAAGAATCAAAAACTGAGGAGACAGACAGGAGATGAGCAGCAGAAAAGACTACAATTTGGTTCTGTTGGGGAAGAAAATTCTAAAAAAGTGAGAATGAAATATATATATATATATATATATATATATATATATATATATATATATATATATATAGGCACAAATCTATGCAGGGAATTTCGATTTAAAGAATAAAAATCTTTGACCTTCCTCAGACTTTTTTGGAAAAATAAAAGCGTTTTTT